GTATGTATATATATGTATATATATATATACACATATATACATATATATGTATATATATATATGTGTATATATATATATATATGTGTGTGTGTGTGTCACATCTTGTATTGATTGTCACTTTGTTCCACTCTGTTTTATAGAGTGTGTGATGTAGAGAAAATTAATTTTCCCAATACGCAGATGAAGAAGCCATACGGACAGCTGAGTGTGTGTGTGTGTGTGTGTGTGTGTGTGTGACAGACCATCTGCTCTGGGGACGACTCATCCACCTCTCCCCCACCTCTCCCCCACCTCTCCCTCATATCTCCCTGATTTACAATTACTTTCAACTCCTGCCCCCGTTGAACGTGTGTGTGTGGTAAAGTGTGTACGACACGACTCCACCAGAGCTGGCCTTGAGTGTGTGTGTGAGTGTGTGTGTGTGTGAGTGTGTGTGTGTGTGAGTGTGTGTGGTCCATGGTCCATGCGTCGAGTTTGTACTTCGTAGTTTAAGAAAAGTCAACTCCTTGTCATTGTGACACAGCAGAAATGTGACTCTCTGTTTTTATCCCATCATGCACTGGGGTCCTGTCATGATGCTATGTCCATTTTTGTGGTTAAAATTGAGCAAAAATAGACTTTTTTTGGAAATTCATCTTTAGATCACAGTAAAATACTATACCAATAATTTCCGGAACAAATCTCCGAAAATAAAAGTTTCTCAAAAATGACTAAAAATGCACTCATTTGCCTTAAAATACTTTGCTGAGTCCATTTCTGTTGTTAAAATTCAGACACATGAACGTCCATGTCCAGTCGCTCTAAAGCAAAGGTCTTTAATTGCCCTCTCCTCACACCCAGAGGCAACCACAGCAGCCAATCGGCTCTCAGCGTCCGTGACCTTTCACCGCTGACTTCCAGAACCGGGCTGACCTTGAGGGTGGGGTCGGGCAGGCGTACAAACGGATCGCGTTTCCTGGGTCGCATGTTGAAGCCATCAGCCAATGGCGGGGTCACAGCGGGTCACCACGGCCCAATAGAAAAGGCAGTTTGATGGCAGACGAACCAATTAGCAGCCAGTTTGCCTCAGGGTCAGAACAAAGATGTTTTGACTGAAGAACGCGGCTGGAGAACCTTTGAGGTTCCTGAAGAACGCGGCTGGAGAACCTTTGAGGTTCCTGAAGAACGCGGCTGGAGAACCTTTGAGGTTCCTGAAGAACGCGGCTGGAGAACCTTTGAGGTTCCTGAAGAACGCGGCTCCTTTGAACAAACAACTTTTCTACTTTTGGAATAAAAAACTCGTTGTTTGTTATTTTTTACTGTTCTACATGACGCAAACGTTGACTTTTTTATCGACGTTTTGCTAGCGTTAGGCTAACTTTGAACTATTTATGACTTTCACAAATAACATCTACAAAATTATGATTTATATTATTGCTCTCAGTTTTGAGAAACTTTTATTTTGGAAGACTTTTTCAGGAACTTATTAGTATCGTTTTTTTACTGAACTACTAAACTAGAAGTGGCCTTATTTTTTTGGCTAACGTTCAGCTAATGTTTGAAAAAAAAAATCTGGAAAAATTAGTTTTACACTAATTTTTTTATCTTAAATACTGTGTGATTACCATTTATTACTGATCCTATAATATCATTTATATTTAAAACAAATTTTTTTATTACTAAATCGTATAAAAACCAAAGGTTTTATATCAACATGTTCGACATCGTCTGTAGCGGCGAGGGCAGCGTTAGCTACAGAAGCCCAGCTGGACATTTTTTAATCCTACTGTAAAACATTGTTCTCTTTTATTGGGCGTTTATTTTTATTGACTTCATAATGACTGCTGTAACAAAAATCTCCATGTTTTACTGTACTTTCCAAAAACCACCAAGTAGAGAAACCTCGCAGCGAGAACCGATGGTCTGGGTTTTTTTTTGTTTTTTTTTTTGGTTTTATTCGTTTTTTTAACAGTTCGTACGTAGCTATATTTTCTTTTTCATCGTGGCCTAAATTCCACCACTTCCTGTTCTCTCTGGTTCACTGTTGACTTTGTATGATTTCTGCTGCTAACCCTGATCTGGAACCATTGAAGGTTGACCGTTTCCTGCAGCCGCTCTGACGGTAAATCTCAAATTATATTCACACCGTTTTTTTTTTGTTGTTTTTTTTCACACTGTCATTGATCAGGTTTCGATCCTGAGATCTTTAGCTCTGGTTTATTACCAAGGTCATTAAATGTCTTGTACATCCCATATTTTTTCTGACTCCCCCCTCCCCCCCTCCCCCTCCTTCTCTATCTCTCTCTGAATGACATCATCATTACGGTGTGATGGAGCCGTGTTGAGCAGATCAATATCAGACATCACTTCACCTCCGTCCACTTCTACATGTGCTGCGCTGCACGGGAGAATTCTAACGAGCAAACACACACACACACATGCACACTCACACACACACATTTCAATCGTCCTCTCCTCCAATCAGAACTCTTCATTTCTTCATGTTCCAGACTGACGTCTGTATTTGTTCTGTTTGACTTATTCTATAAAATGAATCAATATTTATAAAACTGGAGTCATTTTTTTTTCAATATTTTAAGGCAACATTTTAGCTCAGTAATGGAATAAATAAAATAGTGAATTTGCTGATAGTAAATAAGATGAGTTCCTTTAAAAGAAAAAAAAATGAACTATATTGATCTGATATTTGGGAAATTCTTGTGTTAGCAGCAGATATACTGCCCCCTGTTGGCACCAAGCATGTGGCTCCTCTGGGAATCAAACCCAGGACGTGCTAACAACTACACTATGGAACCGACATAGCGCAGTGGCGTTCCATAATTATATGAATTATATGAGATTAAAAGCAAATGTTATAGAATTCAATGTGATTTTATTTTTTATTTTTTTGCTAATTATTGGGTTTAAAAAAATATTTTTGGGACTCACGACACCTTTTTTTTTTTTTTAGCTCTTGGACCTAAATGATATTCCAGTTAAACCAGGCAGGGTCCATTAGCGCCACCTACTGTTGTTGTTGTTTGTGTTAACCACACTTTTCAAAAGATTTGATTCAATTTGTTAGATTTAAAAAAACAAAAACAAACAGTTTAAATCTGTTGGTCTGTCGTCAGAGTTCAGGTCTCGTAAAGATTCACACTGAGAAATCTGAAGCTCTGTTCCAGCACGGGGCGTGTGTGTGTGTGTGTGTGTGTGTGTGTGTTGGTAAACTGGGTGTTCTGGATGATTTGACTAATGGTTCCAGTATGGAGCCCCGTTATAAAGAGCAGACTGTTTAATTGTAGCTGCTTTTTAACGAGCCTCTGATTATGGCAACATTCAAACCAGTGCTGGTTTGTTAATGTTGACTAATCTGCAGTCATTAGTTCAACACCGTCTGGCCTGAGAGTGAACTGCGCACACACACACACACACACTCACACACACACACACACACATGCTCCACATATGCAAACAAATTTTTCCAAAGAAACAAGAATGAAAAATGAAACCGAAGGAAGAAAAACAAAGCGCTTGATGTTCGTTAGCGAAGTGTGTGTGTGTGTGTGTGTGTGTGTGTGTGTGTGTGTTGAGCGGTCGTACCTGTGTAAATGAACCTCCCTGGTGTGCCCTTGCAGAACTGTTTGGACTTGTACGACAGGGTGACCTCCACCACTCCAGGAATGTGTCGAGGAGGCGTTTGCACTCGGATGGCGTGCGGCGTGATCAACTGCAGGAGAACGAAAAAAAAAAACAACCAGGTTAAACTCCACACAGATGGAGGCGCTGTTGACCTCCAACCGTACAGTGTGTCAAACATGTCCAATCCTGGCCCGGGGACCAGAGGTGGACAGACAAAGACTTTATTCCTCATAAATGTTGGACTTTATTTTCATAAATTTACTTTTTTGACTTTTTTTTTTTTCTGGTGAATTTGTAACTTTTCTTCACAGCAACACAGTTTCAACTCTTTTGTTTTTTGTTTTTTTTTTCTCTCATAACTTCGACTGTATTTCGACTTTTTCCTCATGAATTTTCATAACTTCGAATGTATTTCGACTTTTTCCTCATGAATTTAAAACTTTATTCTCACTGGTCCAAAACTGAAACTTTTTCTGGCCAAACTACAACTTCATTTTCATACATTTTTCACTTCTAACTGTTTCTGTTTCTGTTTCTGTTTTTTTTTCTACGTGGTTTTAAATACTCCAAAATGTTCAGAGAGAGACAGAAATGTTCAACTTTATTTTTAAAAAAACTTTGATTTTAGAATTTTCTTTCAGTAACTTTGAACTTTTTTCTTGTCATATTATGACTTTATAATCGTTCATTTACATCTTTAAATATCAACTTTTAAATTTTTTTTCAACTTTTTTTTTACATCACATAACATCACAACTTTATTTTCATTTTTACTTCATTTTATTAAATTTTTTTTTTTGCTTGATTTTCCCTAATTATCCTTTAATGTCCCCAGTCCCCCCCCCGTCCCCCTCCTCAGTCCTTCAGCTGCTCCTTCGCTCATGTTTGCACAAACTCACCAGTGTGTGTTGGTGAACTTGGCACCGAGCGGCCGTCGTTTCCACTTAAAACTTTATTATTTTTCAGAGTGTGTTTTCTCGCCTGAGAATCAATAATCAGGTCGAGTGCAAACGAAACATTCGCCTGGCGCTGATCCATTAGACGGCGGCGTGAGCTGAGTCAGTGTGAACTGAAGTCAACTGACACACACAGACACACACAGACACACACTACTCTGGGTGTTTCTGTTGGACGGGAGCCTCGCTCGGCCGCGGCACGCACGGTGAGCGAGTCATCAGACAAATAAACACTGGACAGAGGAGCAGCGTTTGGGAAAAGTTTGATAGTGAGAGAGAGAGTGTGTGTGAGGTGAGAGAGTGTGTGTGTGTGTGTGTGTGTGATGTTGACGGCAGAGAGTGCGTGATTTAATTGGTAGTCTAGAGAGAGAGAGAGAGAGAGAGAGAGGGTCTGAGGGCGAGGGAGTAAAAACAGGTGCGTTGGGACTGATTGGACAAACACACACAAACACAGAAAAGTATGTTTTCATATAAATTAATTTTTTTTTTCCAAAACCAACTTTAAAAAAACCCTGATCAAATATCAGTCGGTGACAGTGATGGACTACGAGGGTTTTTACGGAGGCAAAATACCAGCTGTTGTTGCCAAAGTGGGGGGCGCAGGCCCAGTCGGAGCACAGAGAGAGGACAAACTCACCTCGCTCCAGACCAACATGGTACCAAAGATGACCTGGAGACCGTCGAAGAAGTTGTCCCCAATGATGATGACGGTAGCGCCCCCTGTGGTCCAGCCCTCACTGGGGCTGATGGCTTTGATGCAGGGAGCTGCTCCTGGAAGAAGAGGAGGAGACGAGAACGTCACAGAACGTCCATCAACAACACGGTAACAACAACGACGACGACGGAGACCGAGCTAACCGTGACCGCGCTGGCGGTAACAACGACGACGACAACGACGGAGACCGGGCTAACCGTGACCGCGCTGGAAAAGCTAACTTGGCTATTCAACACTTAGCTAACGGCGACTTTTCATACACTTTTCTACTTAACTCACCCGCTCTGAGGCTTCTTCAAAGTCATACAGTGTCAGTATAGTTAGAGGATGGTTGACACAGCGCCACCTACAGGCCAGGTGTATGTACTACAGGCACCGGAGTCGTATTCAGCGGCGCCGTTTAAACACTCGGAAGCCGAAGGCTCCGTAGCCGCATCGTATCGCCACCGTGTAAACAGACAAAGTTTAAGCTAGCTCCTAGCTAAGCTAACTTGACGAACATCGGCCTCTGTGTTTGAACTACGCAGTAACAGCTTCCGCCTGGAGGTGGAGCAGTCGTCTGTGTTTATTTATCGTGGGATTACGGCAGATTAATCCGTTTAATCTCGGTTCACGCTGCGACGAAGGTGAGAAGGAACGAAAAAAAAAAAAAAAAGAGAAGAAAAACGTGGACGTCTTCAGTCAGCTGATGTCACATTACTGCTGGTTCAATATCACAGGAATCACAGCCTGTCAGTCAAACATCAGCAGGTGTGTGTGTGTGTGTGTGTGTGAGTGTGTGTGTGTGTTTATTATTCTGCTGAAACATAGAAATGGCTCTGAGTCTGCGTTTTCTTTATTAAAAAAAAGAAGCATAATTACATTAGACCCTCTGTGTGTGTGTGTGTGTGTGTGTGTGTGTGTGAGTGTGTGTGTGTGTGTGTGTGAGTGTGTGTGTGTAGTGATTGTAGTAGGTTGGATTAGCCAGATGGAGGGGCAGGAATCACCTGATAGGATTAAACCATCAACCATCTGGTGGCCGTGCTGCTTACATTTACACACATGTTCAGGGACACACACACACACACACACACACAGTCGGTCAGTCGGTCGGTCAGTCACTCCTGTGTGTTACCGTGCTCCAGGTAAGACGGCGTTCCCTCCACGGGGTCCAGCCTGCGGGCCCGTCGACCGTGTTTGGAGTTGTTGTGGACGAACATGTTGTCGGACACCGAGAGGACGTGTCCGTCCACGCTGACCGTGGTGGACACCACCACCTGGAGACGGGAGACGGACGGAGGGTGGTGGTGGGGGGTGGGGGGGACACAGATGGAGAGGAGGGAGGAGAAAAAAGATGGGTGGGGTGAGAGGGTGAGGAGGAAAAACAAGGAAGTTCAGTCCAGTTCAGTTCAGTTCAGTCCAGTTCAGTCCAGTCCAGTTCAGTCCAGTTCAGTCCAGTCCAGTCCAGTCCAGTCCAGCCCAGTTCAGATCAGTTCAGTCCAGTCCAGTTCAGTTCAGTCCAGTTCAGTCCAGTCCAGTCCAGTCCAGTTCAGATCAGTTCAGTCCAGTTCAGTCCAGTCCAGTCCAGTTCAGTTCAGTTCAGTTCAGTTCAGTCCAGTTCAGTTCAGTTCAGTCCAGTCCAGTTCAGTCCAGTCGAGTTCAGGTCAGTTCAGTCCAGTCCAGTTCAGTTCAGTCCAGTTCAGTCCAGTTCAGTCCAGTTCAGTCCAGTTCAGTCCAGTTCAGTTCAGTCCAGTTCAGTCCAGTTCAGTCCAGTTCAGTCCAGTTCAGTTCAGTTCAGTTCAGTCCAGTCCAGATCAGTCCAGTTCAGTCCAGTTCAGTCCAGTCCAGTCCAGTTCAGTCCAGTCCAGTTCAGTTAAGTCCAGTCCAGTCCAGTCCAGTTCAGTCCAGTTCAGTCCAGTCCAGTCCAGTTCAGTTCAGTCCAGTACAGTCCAGTTCGGTTCAGTTCAGTCCAGTCCAGTCCAGTTCAGTTCAGTTCAGTCCAGTCCAGATCAGTCCAGTTCAGTCCAGTTCAGTCCAGTCCAGTTCAGTTAAGTCCAGTCCAGTCCAGTCCAGTTCAGTTCAGTTCAGTTCAGTCCAGTCCAGATCAGTCCAGTTCAGTCCAGTTCAGTCCAGTTCAGTTCAGTCCAGTCCAGTCCAGTCCAGTTCAGTTCAGTTCAGTTCAGTCCAGTCCAGTCCAGTTCAGTTCAGTTCAGTCCAGTTCAGTCCAGTTCAGTTCAGTTCAGTGAAGGAGGTAAAAACTCTTCAAATGTAACCCGTTATCACAGCTATTACTATCAGCCTCCACACACACACACACGCTGCATGTGTGTGTGTGTGTGTGTCTATCCTCCTCCGTTCAATAGTTCCTGATGGGTCCGGCCCTTAATTATCTCCCAGGGAAACAGAGCTGTCTTCACTGGTTCCACTACAATAGAGCTGCACAATTAGAGCCACAGACACTGTCACACACACACACACACACACATAGACCGGCCACTGTACAGAACACGTCCTGTCTCACACACACACACACACACACACACACACACACACACCTCCTCTATCTCCACTCCAAGTCAAGTGGACTCTTCCTGATTGTTTTCTGGCCGTGAAGATAAGGAAATAATAAAGACTGAAGTGAGTGAAGTCTTCATCATGACCTCACACTCCTCCTCCTCTTCCTCCTCCTCCTCCTCCTCCTCCTCTTCATCCTCCTCCTCCTCCTCCTCCTCTTCCTCCTGTCTATCCTTCTCTCCTTTCCTACTTTCCTTCTTTCCGTCCTCTCCTGTTTATTTACTCCTGTTCTGACCCTCGGGGTCACACACACACACACACACACACACACACACACACACCCCTGTTTCCTGTGAAGGCGCTGATGGATTATTTTCTCACACACACATGTGTGTGTGTGTGTGTATTTGACGTGTACAAATACACACTCCTGTGACTTGAAGTAACGACAGACGAGCAGAGATTTTTTTTTTTTCTCACTTCTGTTTAAAACATAAACACTGTTGAAGTCTCCGCAGCTAACAAGCTAATATTAGCAAATTAGCTACTTTAACGTTGGCTAACTTTTAGCCGTTGAAAGCTAACATTACTTTTATTTTGTCGTCTTTAAAACGTTAGTTTCCTGTTAGACGTTTTTTAAAGGCAATTATTTACTTTTTTTTTGGAATATCTTCATTATTACTTCAAAACTTTATGGAGATTTTTAGTCAATTTTAACATCAATTTCTTTAAGTTTTTACTTAACTTTATTTTTTAGTTAATTTTTTAAAAATTTTAATAATAATAATAATAATAATAATAATATACCTATAATTTTATAGGTTATTTAAAAAAAAATTGTTTGATTTTTAATCTGCTTTAACATTAAGAGTATTTTGGGGGCGGGGCAGTTGATGCCCCGACCAATCCTGACTCCTGACTCTTGACTCGACCACGAATGGAGGAAAAAGTCATGTTAACACATGTAGAAGAAGAAGAAGAAGAAGAAGAAGAAGAGTTCTACCTGGAACCTCCTCATGTCCCGTGGGTTCCCTGCATTTTTTAAACAGTTCTGGTTGCACTTCAGGAAAAACTTGAGGAAGAATCTGTGAAAAAAAAAACACACAGTCAGAGAACAGGCGCCAAAAAGGTTAAACATTGGACCAGAGTGAAGAAAACCTGCAGGAAATGTGAATTCAAGCCCACTCCCCGGCACCGCTCACTCAGAGATGAATATTTCATACAGCTGGAAATTCAAAATGAATTTCCTCGTGAAGTTTCCTCCTGGATTCGTGTTGGGTTTTTTTTTTTACCCATAAATCCACACAGCCACATCAGTGCTGAACACACACGGAGGTGAATAAAACAACAGGGAAATATGTGACTCTGAGACAAAGTTTAGGAAAAAACCTGAAGTTTTACTTTCTGTTGAAACTTCAGGTTTCAAACTCACAACTGCTTTTGTTTTTTTTTGGTTTTTTTTTCAGCTTTAACAATGAAGAAGCAGAGTTAAGAACTCGTGGCAGAAGTTTGGATCCGCGGTCTCCTGACCCTGACGTCGATCCATGGACTGAACGTCAGCAGAACCGTGGGTTTTTGTTGTGAATCTACAGTCGGAAAGAACGGAACAACCAGACGGTCACGTGACCAGAAAACAAACAAACAAACAAACACAACGTGGTGTTGTTGTTGTTGTTGTTGGCGGTGCCAGCTGGCCAACGTTGGCACAACACACTCAGGAAAAAACACACTCTCACGTGTTTGTGTGACAGTTGCAGTTTACAGACTGTTCACAGACTGTTTACAGACTGATTACAGACTGATTACAGACTGATTACAGACTGAAGTTATAAAACGAGGGAAATGACAATAATAAATGTACATAAACGTAAACGTAAAAAAAACTGTGTTCAAACTACAGTAAATATGTTGGTCAGGGCTGCGAAGATTTGAATATTAGCAAAAATAAAAAGAGAAAATTAGGTCAAAAAATCTAAGGAAAAGAAACAAAGAAATGTCTGTAAATATGAAGAAATACATTTTTTTTTAGTTCAATTGGACCAAAATAAACCAAACGTCGCGGCTCAAACTATGAGGATTGAACTGGATCTGGAACAACTTTTCATTCGA